GGGCAGTCAGCGACGTCAGCGCGCGCCGCCAACGTGCACGAAGTGCCACGTTCAAGGCCACACAAGAACTCAGTGTAGAGCTAGATAACAAATTATATTCTTTAAGTCTTGTCTAATTTTATTGCGTTGTTGTGGATCAATTGCGCAGAACGTCGCGCCGGGTTTGGTGAGGTGGCCCATTAACTGATCCGGCCCACTTACTGATCCTTGACGTTAATAATTGGCTAATAGAGGTAGTAGCTTACGCGCAAGGTTCCACTTGGTGCTCTGTCATTCAACGCAAACCCCTCCCTGGAGCTTGGCACAGCTTGGGTCCTCGCGTGGTCGGCTGGGGTGGCGCATTGACGTCGAAGGCCCGACACCACAAAGTCCGCATCGGAATACACCCATTATGGTCATCGCCATTCTCGCTTTTGTCGTTTTTGGATGTTTTGTCCGATGTAGCGTTGCTACTGGCGTTATGGCTGTATGCCTCGATTTGCGTGCAGACCTGACTACACACATCTCTTGGATGACGCGTCCATTGCTTGCGTTGCATTCCCAATAAACGCACACACGCAAATTTGTCGTATTCTGCCCGTTTCAGGTTACTTACGAATCAATGAAGTTGCTGAGTTTTTGTTTCATGCTTAGGTGTTCAACTTTTCTTATTAGTACGCAACTAATCAAGCTCATGTGCAGTGCCAGTCTATGATTTACTGACAGCTTAAACAAATCTTTGCATGCCAACTCTCGATTGAATTTCATATTTAACTCCAATAGCGTTTGCAAAAATCCAAGATTGTTGGCTCGAGTTCTTACAACAAGGTCGGCGTGAATATGGATATTAGCAGTATCGTAGCATATTCTACTCCGTCGTCAGACAGCTGAAAAATATAAGAATGGGAGGCACTGAAACAACATATTCTGGGTCTAAGGTCTATTGGTTTGGTCCAATAACCTGTTGCATATATATTCAGCTGGCCTCTCAACTTGTAGTCGTATTGGAAAACACTGAGACCTCTTTCATGCCAGCTCACTATACATATCCAGGCTGCTTATCTTCTACTAGCAACGTTTTTCAGATAGCCAACGGATTATGTATTGTCTCTTATGTGGAGAATTGCCTGGCAAGAGTTGCGTAATACAATTAATTAATTACACCAAGTGCAAAGCGGCTCAGCTATCAAGGACATGTTCGTTGTATACAACAGTTTTTCAGAGCGAGGATCACAAGCATTAATGTTTATTTCAACCTCTAGAGTAGATTAATCTAGATAGTCTGCCATATCATATGCTTCCTCAACTCAAAGAAATAAAATTGTACCTTGACTTCGAGAAAAGTTATCATTACTTCTGTACATATTTTTGAGAACAAAATCCACATTCCCGAAAACACGATTTCTTGTATAGCAGTGTAAGTAGCGGCTTAATCTTCGAGGGGTTTGTCGTTTCCAAGTGCCTAGACTTACCAGGAAATCGATTATCCGCGAACCTGCTAAATTCAACCCGAATTTTCTGGCACATACGACCATAGGATTCTTGGCATCACGGAAACCCGTCCGCTCTTCCCTAGTTAAACAGTTTACCGGCGGATTAGTAGTCAGGTGGGTGACCACTGGCGAATCCCCGCTGTCGTATGTTTTTGGCTTTGATTTTTTGCTTTCTGACATGGGTCACGTGGGCGGGTTTAGGCGAGCGTTGGATCCTCGCGACTACGTGCATGTCTATTCCAATCTAGAACAAGAACTCTGAAGTTGGAAGAACGATGCCTAGTTATTCCTGTCTTTATTTTTTTCAAATGCGAGAAGAAGACCTCGTTGGAATTATCCCCTACCTGCAAAAGATTTTGTTTCCGGCTTTCTGAGCTGTTTTGATTTTCGGATATTGAATAAGATGTTCTTACTATTAGTCGATGCTTATAATACTAGAGCCTCCTAGAACCAATTACAGCGTATCTTACCTTGTAGCACAAGCCTCCAGAGTAACGTAAATACACAGCTAAAACTGTAATAACGAGAGATCCTACTACCTAGATACGGCACAAAAATGACGTGTGTATTGGGCGTTGAGTATGCATACATATCATGCAATGACGTTCCATGACGACTCTAACAAATACCCACCCCCCACCATGACCCTCCCCTACATTATAAACAGTTTCTGAACATCCGTAGATCTCCTTCCAAAAACATCTTCCCAGAAAACGAACATTTAAATCAATTTCTTCCATAACCTTATTCCAAGCCAATCACACAAACATCCTCCACTAACCATCCAACATGAGCGACGACAACAGCCCTGTCACCGCGTACCCCGCGACGTCAATCACAGCACAAAACCAAGAAGGTGGTCCTGGTCTCGATGCCAAAATGGAGCAAAAAGCGGAATGGTCGCGCCTTGAATTCTGGGACGACAACCAGAAGCCTTATCTCAAAGAATACGAAGGCCGCGGCCTGCTCCAAGGCAAAGCAGCGCTAATTACTGGCGGCGACTCTGGCATTGGACGCGCAGTCGCCATTTTGTTCGCAAGAGAAGGCGCAGATGTAAGCATTGTGTATCTGCCCGAGGAAGAGGAGGACGCGCAGTACGTCAAGAAGAAGATTGAAGAGGCGGGCCGCAAGGCCAACCTCATGCAACTCAACCTGCGGGAGCGCAAGAACTGCGAGCAAGCTGTTGAGCAGCACATGAAGGTTTTCGGCAAGCTGAATGTGCTTGTCAACAATGGTGAGTTTTTGTTCTTCTCTTTACTCTATGCATTCAGAAGCTTGCCAAAGAAGAACATGCTGCTAACTGCTGAAAAACTAAAAAGCCGCAATGCAAGAAATGGCTACCGACATCACCGAAATCGATCTGGACGTAACAGAAAAGACTTTCCAGACAAATGTCATTTCCATGTTTGCAATGAGCAAGTACGCGCTCAAGCACATGAAGCGCGGCGACTGCATTGTCAATAGCACATCGGTCGCAGCATATATGAGCAATCCTACACTCCTCGACTACGCATCTACCAAAGGCGCAATTGCAACCTTTACTAGGGGTCTGGCGCAACAGCAAGCACCAAAGGGAATCAGAGTCAACGCCGTCGCACCTGGAATCATGTAAGTTTTTCGCCCCAGTCTCTTACACACCCCAATTATTACCATCTTCCTTTCTTTTCCCCAGCAACAACACTAATCACTCGTAACGGCAGCTGGACCCCTCTCCAGCCTGCAACGAAAGGAAACCCTGCAGATGCCATGGAGTCGCTTGGAGTGGGTGCTTGTCCGCTGAATCGCCCAGGCATGCCTGTTGAGATGGCGACGTGCTATGTGCATCTTGCGTCGCCGTTGGGATCGTACTGCACGGGCGAGGTACTGCATGGCTCAGGCGGCATCGAAATGCAGGGGTAAGGGGCCGAGAAAAAAAAAGCAAAGGCCACGATCGTGTGTGTGAGAGGAATACCATCGTTGTGACAATGAGATGCTGTATGAGAATGAAGATTATGCGACGTAATTGATGGATGCATGATATTAGTATGTAAGATACAATCCAAGATCTACTACTATGAGTTACATATTCCATGTTCTCATGTGCCTTTGTCCAGGTTAAAAATGGCTAGATACAGTAGTTTGGCTGGGAAAAGGGTGAAGTAATTAATCAAGGAGAAATTAAAGAAACTTTCTTCGGCGCTAAAACTACATTCTTTCCCTGCATCTTAGAAGTTGGGAATTCATTATTTTGGACGCTGATATGTCTATCAGGAATCGTATATTAATTTTTGGTTCTAGAGGTGGAGAGATTCGAAGACCAAAAAAAATGCAGAGTTAGCTTTTGTACATATTTTATCGAGAACCTACACAAACATCATTTAGTGGCAGAGAAAAGCGTAGGAAACGAGGAGGAAATAGTCACAGAACACGGTAATCGGATGAGGTGTTGAATAAATAGAGTGGCATGTTCAGTATTACACTATGAATCCCACGATACCAACCTCCCTACACCTACTACCCGTTTGCCAGCTACCCCAACTCCAAGAAACAGTGGCATAAAACGCCAAACCATGCATTTCCCTCGCGAGCAATGTTTCTCGCATCAAAATTCAAGCAGCACAAAACTAACCACCCTTCTTCGTCTCCTCCACACCCTTCCCGTGCCGTGCATCGACCTCATCCATCGCATCCGGCATATCGACATCAGAGAAAGAAACCTTATTCTGCAACTTCTGGGTATCAACATCCATAGCATCATCGCTTCTGCCTACAGTCTCGCTACTCGCATTGCTGAGTTGAGAAACCGCGGGGCGGGCGAGATTAGGCTGGGTCGCGGCACCAGAAGCGTCGTTGTCATCTCCGACCTCTGTGTTTGGGGTCAAAGTAGCAGAACTCATATTTGAATCGTTGCGAGCGCGATTGTGTAGTTCCTTGGTGGAGATTTGGCTCCATTCGTTGTTGTCTGCGGGAAAAGTGTCCTCAACCCAGTCGCCTACGGGAGGCTTGTCCCACCGCACTGTGCTGTTGTCCCAGCTTGTCTGGCCGGCATTGTCATAATCGTTGTAGCCCTCCCAACCTGTTGCGTTCTTTTGCAACTCCTCCAAAAAGTTGAGATTGTCGCGTTTGACGAAATCGAGGAGGGGCTTTGCTAGTGGTATAGGCTCGACTGACATGGCATCATCGTTGGCGTAGACAAGAAGTGCCGAGGCAGATTCGGTAGTCGCTCGCTCAATGACCTCTTGTAGTGTGAGACGGTCTCGCCTTATTATTGGGTTTGAGGATTCAGAGTCATACTGCATTCGCCACCACTGCATTGCGCCTGGAACATCAGATTGGATGTCTGGGTGTCGCACATAGACTACGTCACGGCGAGTGGCCACGCCATGGAGATGATATGGGTAGTGCATGGCATCCTCTGGTGTCTGGCCCTCTGGGAAATCAATTTTGACCGGCTCTACAGACTCTGCTACAGCTCTCCCAGCTGCACCATCTGTAGCGTCCCCAGTATCGTCGTCCGTGGCACCATCGTCTACGCGAGGCTTAAATCTCCCAGAGATACCGACAATCATGTTCTTTGTGTGCTCAGTTTGCTTCTCAAGTGTTGCGAGCTTGTCCTCAATACTTTTGTAGAGGTCTTGAAGCTGGGATAGGACCTGTGCGTCCTCGGGTGAATCATCTCCCTCTGGATGTTCATATATGGTCATGCTGGTCCGAAGCAGTTGCAGCGATTCTACTTTTTTGGCACCAGCCTTCTTTGGAGTATAGTATTTCAGCTTCTCCAACTGCTTTTGAATGGAATTCAGCTGTTCCTCATGCTTTCTGATATCGCTGTACATACTGTCAATGACATGCTTATTCTTCTCAAGATAGCGGTCGACATAGAGAGTGGCTGGTACACGACATCCAAGATCGGACGCCTCTGTATTTGACGAGGTCAGGCGGATAATGAGGACATTGCTGGCGTCGCGTATGTGTGCGCTTCCGACTGCTGAGGAAAAGAGCGTATCGTCGAGGACATCATATAAGCTAAAGTCGAGCCTAGACTGATCTCGTGTGACAGTGGTGTCGAGCGCAAAGCTTTCTTGTGTTGTTCCCGCAACATTGACAGTGGAACGAAGAAGACCGTTCAACTCGACATTCGCTACATGGCTCTGTACTGCAAAACCCCACATGACCAGGAACTTAAGCAAGTCATCGTCAGGATCCTCGACAGCCGACTGATTTTCTGCCCAAGCCTCGGTCTGCAGTAAGGCATTCACTGATCCATAGATCCTGTCCGTGTTGTCGAGGAAAGCCATGAGACGCTGTGCCTCGTGGATGATCTCCAAGTTGTGAGCTTCTGAACGGCCTATGCTGTCATCGAATATGCGCCCAGTCTCGGTTGGATTGCCTCTCCACCAATCCTCACCTATCCAATAGTCCTCTTGTAATATACCGGGACATAGTAGCGCATTCCGAAATAACGGAATTGAATGTATGATGGGAATAAGACTGGACAGATAGTTGAAGTTGGACGACGGCTTGAGGATAGCGGGCTGACCTTGTTCGCGCTTTCTCTGGATAGGTATTGGGTCGGCAATAATCTCGGTAGTTGTGGGTACCAAGGCCCATTGAGAGGTGTCGTAATTATCTCCAGTAGCTGGCCTAAAGTTGGAGTTTGAGCCGATGACCCCACTCTCTTGGTCTTCTATGCCTATCTCCCAGTCAGTATGACCAATTTAGGGCTTAGTATCGAGCGCAATGAACTGACTCTGCATTGGAGCGTCGCCGGCCTGGGCTTGGTTGGAGGCGATGCTGGTCCGAGAAGGCGGGCGCGTGGGTGCTCTGCTATTGACATTGCTGTGGGGGTAGTTGTCATGTCCTGGAGCGTAGTCAATATTGAAACCTGACACGAGTGCCTGTCAGCCACGTTATTTCTCGACATGTTGTGTAGCCCAGGCCAACGTACTGGGAACGGTTGCATCGTCAGCACCGTACATGGCACCTCCAAAAGCAGTCTCATCCCACTTGGGCTGGGAGTTGCGCAGATGGGATTTCAGTACCGAGATACCGCCTTGTTGCTCCATGCTGCTGAAGTATTTGTCCATGGCGGCTTCGACGCTGTTGCCATGATTCTGCGAAATGTTGTTAGCCAATGCTCATAAAGCGCAGGCGATGTGCTTGAGCGGGGTGCCTTTCGTACCGCGAGTAGCTGCCTGGCCTCAGTTCTGTCCAGCTGGTCGGCACCGAAGCTGAGCAAGAGGTCGATGTTGGCCTCCACATCTGCTGCCTCCATGGTTGTGG